AGATTAACTTATTGTCTCACATAGTCTGTCGTCTATGAGGGAATAATTTTTTTAAATACATGTACTATACATTCTTTTATATATCTACACCTGTGTCCTTTATTCTTGTTGTGCAGATGAACTAAATCTTCGGTACCTACTAATGACAAGCTTCATTTTAGAAGAAACCTCTTATCATTTTAAAACATCTTCATAAAACATTCATTACAATTGTTTTGTTTATCATAATTAGCAATCAAGGTTCCTTATAACATGTCCTGACTCTAATTGCATCTTGGCAGCCTACTTGGTGAATGGTAGAATGAACAGTGCTTACTATGTTATAGGTTGACTAACTTGACATAAGGTTTGGCAGAATGTTGTTCTTAGTACTAAACTGTACATCAGCACAGTGTTAATTACAATAGACAACACAAATTGCTAGAGATTCCATGTACAGATGGTATAGATAATTAGACAATGAGGTGAACCAGTGACCTTTGACCTGAAACTTTCACAAGTAATTAATTCTTTGCTTTGTCATTCTCAACAAATCTTCACATTCTTATCCCCATGTACTAGCTGTCATTTTGAAACAAGGAGATGTTTATGGAAGAATCAAATCTATAAAACAATAACTTTATTATTTCAACAGCAATGTCTTATGGTTCTGAAATTTTATTAAAATCCCAGATTAAAGAAGTAAAAGTTTTGATGAGCCCCTCAAGAATATACTGTATTTCATCTGGACTTTAAGAGAAACTATATTAGCTAAGGTTAATAATTATTTGTGGTACAGTTCTTGCCTTGAGTGAATGATGTTATTTCTTTCATAAAGAATGTAGGAGTAAGATGAGTGAATGAGGTTGTGTCTTTCATAAAGAATGTAGAAGTAAAAGATGAGTAAATGATGTTATGTCTTTTACAAAGAATGTAGGAGTAAGATGAGTGAATGAGGTCGTGTCTTTTATAAAAAATGTAAGAGAAAGATGAGTGAATGAGGTTGTGTCTTTCATAAAGAATGTAGGAGTAAGATGAGTGAATGAGGTTGTGTCTTTCATAAAGAATGTAGGAGTAAGATGAGTGAATGATTTTGTGTCTTTCATAAAGAATGTAGGAGTAAGAGGAGTGAATGAGGTTGTGTATTTCATAAAGAATATAGGAGTAAGATGAGTGAATGAGGTTGTGTCTTTAATCATAAAGCATGTAGGAGTAAGATGAGTGAATGAGGTTGTGTTTTTCATAAAGAAAGTAGAAGTTAGATGAGTAAATGAGGTTGTGTCTTTCATAAGGAATGTAGGAGTAAGATGAGTGAATGAGGTTGTGTCTTAAATCATAAAGCATGTAGGAGTAAGATGAGTGAATGAGGTTGTGTCTTTCATAAAGAATGTAGGAGTAAGATGAGTGAATGAGGATGTGTCTTTCATAAAGAATGTAGGAGTAAGATGAGTGAATGAGGTTGTGTCTTCAATCATTAAGCATGTAGGAGTAAGATGAGTGAATGAGGTTGTGTCTTCAATCATTAAGCATGTATGAGTAAAAGCAAAGTATGACAGCTATATAAGAGAAATGAGTCAAGGTTGAGTGACTGCTAATTATTTTACTAAAGAATGTTTTACTTGACCATGAGCCTGTCAGTGTTATATTCACATGATGTAAACATGATACCATCCTGACTAAATGTTGCACTATGGATTTGACAAAGATGGCTATAATTGATCTATTGCAAAAAAACTGCAATAACCAGATAACTCACCGTCATCAACATATTGCCTTTTTTGTCTTGTTTTATAAAGATTTTTTTTGTGCTAAAATTCTTACTACTTAAATCTTCCTTCAGATACCATTACACAAGATGATTAAGCAATATATTTCTATGCACAATAAAAAGGTAAACATTTGCATATCTTTTAATAAAAATTGGAAGTTTAAATCAGAAGTTATTTATGGTTCAAATGTATTGAAAACTTCGTTTTCTTTTGTACTCAGTTTATTTTGTATTCCAAATTTTCACTTTCTCACCTTATCAAACAAAGATTGGCTTTCCCACTGAATTAATTGGTACTTTGATAAAACTCCAAAAGGAAATATTTTATTACCTTTTGTGATGTAACAATGTTAGGAGTACTGCTTTTTAATTGAATTACATAGGTATTTTTTAGTAGCATACAATGTATAAGGGGGAACACAGTCGGAACACTGCTGTGAGAACATATTAAAAATTCATACTTAGTCTTTAAAGAAGATATTGTTAACTGTAAACTGTAAACTGGGATAATTTAAGTTGAAAGTTATAACTTGAGATGTATTTATGGATAACTATAAATTTCAGATTTGTTCTACATCAGTTTAAAAGTACAGGGTGAATTGAAGCCAGACATGTAGAACCCATCTACCTCAAAAGTGCTTTTTTGTGTCCATAATGCCTAACAGAAACTTTGAAACTGAAGAATGCTTTTTATCAATCTTAAAATGCAGTAGAATCAAACAGTATTTATGGAGTTCATTGTTCAATGCTATTTTCTACAGTTGAGTGAAATTTGCTATAATTCTCTATATTTGCCAATTTGGAGTTGGAGGCATCGTTAAAAATTTGGGCAAATTGCATAAATGTCCAGAAATTTCTGACTTTTAATACCCAACTCAACAGATTCATGAACATGTAGCAATTGTGATGTCTGTTGTTCATACTTTAGACTACTGGATAATTATAAAATGCCAGAACAAAAGTTGTAATTTGTATGCAATATCACAAATTTGAACAAATGAATAATCTTTAATTTTGGAAGGTTAAATGTTGTGCTCTTTTGTCCTATTAAAAAATTGGGATTTTTTTAGGACTGAGTGTGATATTTACTGTTTGACCAAATCTTCTGAAGTATTTTTTCAGAATATGATGTACAAAATGTACTAATAAAATATAGTATCATGTTTGATTTTTTTTTAGAGTTGGTATTTACCTTAATTTTCTACTATAAAAATTGCAACTTTTTGGCATTTAAGTATTACGTAATCTAGGTATAGTACATTGTCCTTGACCATCAGATACAGGTTGGGTTTTAGTTGATTAAACATACAAGAGTTATGCCCTTTCTATGAAAATTGTGGAATTTTATCAGTGAAATTTTATAAATACTGCATGGTCAACTCTTTAAATATATTAAGGTAAGGGTTTCAATCCAAAATCCATAAAATTCAAGTTTTGGTTACATTTTGTCTGATTCTGAGATTTCCTTTAATAAATCACAATGCTATGTGATATTCCTTACTTCACAGAACCTGCAGAGAGCTGTAATTTTTTTTTATCTACTTCACGGAATTCTAGTTGGACTTATGTAGGGCTATATATATGGATGGCTTATCAATTTTAGGACTATCATTGTGGAACAGTATGAAAAATTTGACTTCTTTCAACCGTTGTCTCTTGGGTTTTTCCAAATTGACAGAAGCTCAATATGTCCTTTTGAAACAATTATATTGGTGATAAATTATTGATTGATTGAAATGAACATCTTAGGATTAATTGTAGGAAACTTATCGATTTCAGTGGTCATAAGAATTAATGTAAATTAATGTTTACTGGTGTATTAATGATTAGAGATTTTTTTTCCCTATTTACATGGTCTAACATTTTAATGAATACGATAAGAAACATTTTCACAATGATGGATGTTTTGTTTATGCAAATTTTTTTTAACCATATCATGGTCTTTTTTTATAATTTACTATGGTATATTTAAAAAAATAAAAATTAATGTTCATTTTAAAAAATGATAAGCATTTTTAATCAAATAACATTTTCCTTCACTTTGTATCCATCACCTTTAGACATTTAACAAACTTTTGGACATATCAGAAGATTTTTTTTATATGTTCTGAAATTACAAATTTATGATATTTAGAACAATGAGTTGGAGGTTATTAAAAAAATTGATCAGATAATATTACAGACAAGAAACTGCATCCTTTTGTAGCACATGAAATTTTCTCAGGATTTTTGTTGGGGTTCCTTTTTCTCAATCTTTTGTTTTCTTTGAAGAGTTTTGGTGACTGTTGTTTGTTGTTTTGGCCATGATGTAAACAGTCTTTCTTCAACATGTTTTTTTGATTGGCCCATTGCGTCTTCTTACTTTTTTAAACACAAAGCATGGAAAATGGAGTTGGAACATATAAATTTGTTAGTGCCTGATCTAGCCAGACGCTTTTGCATCTTACACAGGGAGAGTCGAGTGATATTGGGATTTGTTCTATAGGGTAAACAATATAATTTGTGGAATAAAAAAACATGTATATGAAGATGTGGTATGACTGCCAATTAGACAACTATCCATAAAGACCGAAGGACAAAGATGTAAAAATTTACAGGTCACTATACGACCTTCAACAATGAGTAAACCCATACTCTGTAGAACCGATTAAGAATGAGCAATATCTGGAACAAATGTCCCATATAACGTCGGAAATTATTTTACATCACTCCAATGCACAATGAATATTCAAAATTGAATTAATAATCAATTTTCCAGGGATTATAATTAACAAAATTTAATCAGTCTGATAGAGTTTCAATTTCAGTGTTATGCCTGGAAAGCATAATGTGACGATAAAAAGTTTGAAAATGGCTTGCTGTTTTAAAAGATATGATCCTGATCAATATCGCATGGGAATTTATGGCGTGGAAGTAATGGTAAAAATAATGTTATTACATGACAACATACATGCCGAATGTGTGGGTTTTTATTAATAAAAGTATGAAATTATATAACTTTTATTGGTTCAGTCAGCTGGATATCCACCATTCACTTTTTTCCAAACGTATTGAATATTTGTCAGTCATAATTCATGAATGAATCAGAGATACAAACAGCTGTCTTCTGTGAAAAGGTAAATTTTCTTATATAAAAAAAAAGTCCCTGTTCAATTTTTAAGCAAGCAGACAGTCAACATTTTAGTGTTTGTATCATGTGACCTGGTATTGATTACCATAGAAACAATAGTGATTCTGAACAGTCCTCCATTGTCTCCCCTAATCTTATCATTGGTAGGATAACAAACTAGAACAGATGGTTCAAATGACATTTTTACACCAGCTTCGTGATTCATTCATTATGAATTCAGGTAATAGAACCTTTACATGGAATTCTCCATTACTCAATTCTCAGCATGTGTTTCCAATTTTAGCTAAAGGACATTAGTTTTTTGTTGACATATTTAACGTTATTGGCACTTCAGGACATTTTCTTTTTACACTGCAAGGACACTTGTGTGAATTTTTATCTGGAGGTATAAAATTGACAGTTCTTTTATCATTGTGTCTGATTACCAGGTAGGATTAGTGAAAATATTGATATATTATCTAACATGTTTACAATTTATCATTATAAATACCTTAGATATTAGTCTAAAGTGACTTTTGGGAATACATATTGAGAGCAAACAATTTAATAGCTTGCAAAAGAAACTAATGTCAGAATAAAATATCAAAATAATATACAATGTAACTGGGAAGTTTGTATGAATAAGAAAGAATAAGAATAAGAATATTTATTATTCCAATCAAGGGCCCTTGATGGGCAGCATAACATGTACACATAAAACAATACATCATGATTTGTAACAGAAAAACATTTTACTTGTATGTATTTTAGGTCTTTCATTGGTATGAAACCATTTTTTTATGGGAAAAGTCAGGATATATTTGACTTATATAGAGCATGAAATCCATAGTTCTTTCTTATCTTTGTGGTATATGTCTTGTAATATTAAAGGGAACCAACAGTACATTTCCAAATGTATCTACATTGGAAACAACGTCTCATGCTGAAAGCATTCCAGAGTTTCAGTTTTTTTTCTGAAAAAAAAGTTATCTTTTAGTTTCTAGACGATACAGAGAGAACTATTGAACCAAAGGGAATGAAATTGACTTCAAAATATAGCTCAGGTTTGATTTTTGGCAATTTTGATTTGACCATTAAAGAGTTGCAGTCTAATATTTCAAATCATTTCTTGGCTGCAAACAAAATTTTTAAGATATATATATTACTGATTCAGACTGACCAATGTAGACAAACATGACTGTAATTACAAATACAAATAAGAGGGCAGGGAAATCAGTGATCTAAAGATCTCAAAGTTTACTATTTGTTTTTAACTTCACTAGAGGAAGAAATCTGACTTTGATGCGTCTGATTTGACATCGGGAAAAATGGCTAAAGGATTTAGGTTATAAAGTATAATAAATTATTCAAGATATCATACAAAATATGCAGATTTATCAGTGAGGTGAAAGTGAATGAATAAATTACAAGATATTTTATTGATAGATTAATTCTGCATGAAAGTTTATCTCTGTTATTGGTCCATAAACCGTTGATATGAATCCCAATAAATATTACACTATCTCCAGAACCTAGGGGGCACTAGTTTGTCATTTTTATACCTTTCAGTTAGCAGGTATGGTTGCCTATTAGTTGGTACTGAACTCAAACTAATAGGTATTAATATTAATGATTCAGGAAATAATCTGAGAGTTGTGAACTTTTAAAGGTTAACATTGATTCTGACTGAAATATAAAAGGTAGGCATTTATTTACAAATTTGTCTAAGGTGTCTGATGATAAAGTTTCATTTGATTGCAAATGCGTCATTTAGTCTTTTTCTAGGAGACATGATATAAGCAGAATAAGACACATTATAGTATCATATCCAGCTGTAAGTTAACCTTGACAGATTATATAAATGCATATCCACTGACCCATTTGCAAGCAGACCCACTTAGCCACAACCCAGAGGCCCTTGCAATTTGAAGTTGTTTTTATGAATACATTTTTGCATTGCTCTTGATGTGCAGATGTATTATGATAGCCATTGTTTACAGCTTAGTCCTATTAAGTATATCCTTGGCTGATTTTTTTACTGGACCACCTTAAAATGTATCATATGCATTGTCAAAATGACTTAGAACCTTTATTTTTTAAAGTACACTAGAACATACAATTTATAGTCGCTCAGTAAGTACAGTTTGTTTTGTGTACTATAACAGAACAGTCTATATGGCATGTAAAGATATTATGAACTAAGAGTTGAAGGAGATGTGGAATATACAATTCTACAAGGTTACTGTCTAGTTCAAAGATAACAGTTTTCATACACATGCATGTGAAATTGCGTTTTTAATTTGAAACTAAAAAAACAGTCCACATTTACAGTTTACAGAGCAGTCATATTTACCTTATTGTCAAATAAATCTGAGTAACAGACAATATAGAAGTGTGGACTTCTGAACATGGATTAACTTGGGTTAATTTCCTCATAATATTATTTTATAACCACTATCAACACCAGTTACTCAATAGTTTAAATGGTCAATTGACTGTTCTCCTTTTATTACCAAGGTATTAGGGTGTCTCCATTGTATTTACCCAGACATATAATTGGACCTTATAATGACAAAATTGAAAGTCTTTGATCTGTGAAATTTTTCCCTATTTATTACCAGCAGAGACATATAATACATTATATGTCTCTGTTACCAGGTTTGACCTAACATGTTCACCCAGTTATCATGTTAATGTGTCCACAAGTAGTGGTGTAATAGTATTGATCTGTTTTAGTAGTTTGGATGTTTGTTTTTCTGTTGATTCTGTTATGAGTAAGGAATTTGCAAAACACATTTATAGAATAACAGAATTATCCTGGAATTAATAACATACATTTATTTTTCAAAGGAAATATATGGATTCATAAGTCAAAAGTCTATGTTAGGTGTATTATTACATTCCATTGTAATAATATTGGGTTTTACTACTACACATCTTCAATTGTTCCTAGTCTACGTAGGAAGGCCTTATATTAATGAAATATCAAAACAAATTTAACGTGGCATATAACTGAATGTATTTCTACACCTTTTTGAGGTGTGCTTGACATGGATTGCCTTTTTTCCTGTTGAAGGTCAGTGGTTCTCTCAGAGTACTCAGCTTTCCACACCCCCCAAAAAAATTGGTTGCTATGATAATGTAAAAGGAGATAAAAGGGTTTAAAACACCAACAATCAAACAAATTATTTGTGCCACTTCAAATAATTGTTTTTGCTAAAGCATCTGGCTGAATTAAAGTTTGGAAAAGTTATATGTCTAAGAAGAAGACAACATATATATAAAGGAAAAACTGCTTTCTCTTGTGTTGAGATGTCAACAAAGTTCGTGCTGACTCCAATTATTTCATTTGCAACTTGAGAACAGAAAACTGTGCCAAAAAAACTATTGCAGTCGGTTTCATGCTATTAAATAAGTGGATAAATGTAGGAAAACTTAGTGGTACAGTGCATTGCTACATTTATAACAAATGTTTTTTCAAAAAAACTAATTTTCAGGGATTATGAGACATGTAGTTGATGAAATTTCCAATGCCAAATATATATCTGTCAAGTGTATATTATGTATATATACTAACAATTATGAATAGGTAATATGCGTGATGTTAATGTAGACAACAGCTCTCTTTAGAATGGTATAGTATTTTGTCTGCACCATATGACACTGAAATGATTTGTGGTTTTAATTCATTCTTGAAGGATTAGTTGGATTAAAATACTCTTTTAATAATTGAATGAAATTATTCATCTGAATAAATATATTTTTATTTAAAAATTGTTTATGCGGGTTAGGCACTCCAAATTGTTTGTCTCCTAGCTATTTATTCAAGGAGTTCTTTGTTGAATATTTTTTGTGGAATAAATCTTGTCTTTTCTCATTTGAGGCAGATGGTTTGAATATCATTATTTTTCAGAAAATCTATAGATGGAAGATTTTGAAGAGCTTTTCATGAAAGATTAAAATATTTGCAAATAATTGGTATTTTTCTTTCTAATTGACAATGACAATTGCTAATCTTACAAAACTCTTTTTCATATTTTGCATAACTATAAAATTGACCTTACAGTAGCCAAATACTCAGACATATATATATATATAAAAAAAGAAAAAGTAATATCCATCACATTAAAAAAACTTAAGTATATTTTTGATAAAAGCGATCCTGAATAAAAAGTACTTAATCAACCAAAAGTTTTAGTAGATGGTGAAAAAACATTGAAAGACCTGTGAACAATGACCAGAGATTAAAGGGCAGGTAGAATGACTTCCTTTTGTCTATTATATGTTTGAAAATTGATACTTGTATAACATGGTTAATTTGCTGTCATTGTCCCAGCTTAACAACTTTCCCTTTATTACCTCCCCTGATGGTTATCACAAGGATCATCAGTCTTGTCAATGACACCAAGGTGTGTGTTCCTTTAGGGCACCTGTCTCACAAAGGATAGCTGAGCAGTGCATATCTTGTCCAGAGATTGTTTCTAGAAAGAAAAAAAACATATTTGTGGTTAGTTTGTGATTTAAGACCCAGGACTGAAGAAAATATTGTGGTTTGGTGTCTGTGTGAAGCATTTTAATTTGCAGGAAATATTTCTGTGTGGGTTTTTGGCAGTGAAACTTTATTTTTGTGCACTCAGATATACCTTGGATCATGTAAACTGAGTCGACCACAAGGGTAAGGTATGTTTGTGATATATGAAAGTGTTAACCAATAAATTCAACCAAATTTCAACACTTTTATGGTAGACTGACTTTCAAATATGGCTATGGTCCAGATAGTGATATATATTTTCATAGATGTAAATTTTTGTCATTATATGGTCTATAATTTTTTTCTAAACTAAAATGTGCATGTATCTTAAATTTCCATAAATTTGCAAAAATAATTTCCTTAATGAGGTTTTAAATATAAAATGAATCATTTTGAAATGACATTTTGAATGATTTACAAAATAAAATGTGGTAGGGTAAATTCTATTAAAAAAATGATTTATTTCTACAGGAAGATTCATATGGGTGTATTTAATTTGAAATTGTATACATGAACATGAATGACTTGACATTTCTTTGCATATGTTTTATATATGAATTAACTTCCTTCAAAAAATGTATTTGAAAGATTCTACATTCCAAAAACTCAAATGGATTTACACACATTGAATTATCAGAAATGAAAAAGACAAAAAATTACAAAGCAGGGAAAATAATTCTGGTAAAATTCCCATATCCTCCAGACTTTATAAACAAAGTACTGGTCAATATTTCTTGTTTATTTATGAATATTACACAATCTTTTGATTTCGTCATTCTGTCCCGTCAATGGCCATGCATAAATGATAAACTTAAGGTATGCTAATCAAATAGTTAAGAGAACAAACATGATCTGTTACGTAAGGAGGAGATAATGTAAAGTAAGGTAAACAATCGTCCCTAGATCACAGAGAGACCT